GCCTGCTTTTATACACATCAGGGATACCGTCAAACATGCCCATAACACTCCCACAAAACGCCCATAACACTCCCACAACATGCCCATGGATTTCTTAGTCAGCATGACTGCATAAAAATATAAAATATGAAAAATACATAAAAACACACACAAGACATAGATGAACCCCCACAAATATTATATTGAAAGATAGCCCTATCTGAGTGACCAAGTTCTCCAAATAGCGCTCAGATCCATGCAGTGTAGGGGAAATGCCACCGTGTTAAAGTTCTGACCGGCCGCACACATGGTCCTATGCCCAAAACAGTTCCAGGGCGTTTGGTGCTTTTGTCGGGAGCTCCTGTGGCCACAATACGAGGTGCTCCAGCTGGCTCGTATTGTGGGGAAAGTGCCAAACCACCCGGGGCAAGCTACTAATGGCGGTTGGGGAGATTTAACTTGTAAACAGGGTCTTTTCATATGGCCCATAGTCGGTGGGCAGGGGTCCAGCTTCTATACTTCTCCATGAGTTTGTGACAAACGTCCAGGGTAAGGAGCGTTTGTCACACTATACATATCTTAAAAATATGTAAAAGCAGATCAAATTTGTATCTTGTAATAACTTTTTTATTGAATTAACAGAATTTTCTAATGACAAGCTTTCGGGAGAACCTATGTGTTTTTTACATCTGCATCATTATCTTAAAAATATGTATATATAGCATATATAAAAAATATGTACATAAAAAATATGTATATATTGTATATATTGCATGTATATATATATATAGCAAACCCAAAGTAAGCCACACTCTTGGGACTTCCAAATGAAGTATAAAACTTTATTTTTATTTCATATTACAGAATCCATAAAATATTGATGTTTCCGTTCCCCTCAGTGAACTTTCATCAGGACAATAGGACAATATATATCCTGCGTTGAATAATATAAAATAAGAAGAGAAAGTGCCCTCAAAGATCTTTGAAAAAATGTAAAAAATCAAAATTAATATGATATTCAAAACTAACATCTGTGACAGATCGACCTTTCGATCCATTCCAGTCTTTTTCAAGATCAACAGAATAAGTGACAGTGTACAAATTTATAAGAGTTAAAGAAAATTTTTTAATTAATAGTGTGAGAAAATAGCCCGCAGACTGATTAAAAACAGGAAGTGTCAGGGAATGGCATAAGACGTGATGACGTGTGCATAATGTAACGTGGTTGCTAGGTGACCTACCAAACTAACGGGGGAACGTGCCAACATGGTTACTAAGTGATGAAGTAAGCAAAGATGACTTAATTACCAGGACCATACATCGCCCAGAAAAAACCTTGCATGGAGGAAAGAAGTCAAAACAAAACGGACTATAATGCACATAAGAGAGCAGTCAGTGGGAATATGGAGATAGGGCACTAAAATAGTGAAACAAGCATGAATGCAATATAATAAAACATGTGTATGTGTGTGGCTGTGGATGATGTGAGTGAAAAGAAATTACCCAATGTATGAACGTCAGCAATCCCTGCCAACATCAAAGTTAATATATATATACAGCAGATACAAGAACAACACCTTTACCTGTTGTAGAGGAAGATAAAAGCTATGGAGCACTACTGGAATATGCATCTATTTTAAAATGGTAATATTAAGGCTATACTCCAATCTGACAGCAGTTTAGGGAACATTCAAATTACAAAACTGTAAATTTATAATATTTTGATTTTGTATTTTTTCATTTATCTTATACAGAACATGTGGGGTGTAAACAGTTTTAATTTCAAGGAATAGTTTCCTTTGAACTTTCTTAGATAATGAATTATTGGCGTATTAAAAGAAATAGAATTTCTTTGTCCCCTAAAGAATGTAGAACAGAAAATAGATTAAAATGGTAAAATAACACGATTGGGAAAACCAATGGCATTTTTTAGGAATGTGGTTTCCTAAAAACGCAACCAAAATACATCTGCTTTTGGGCAAATTATCCTCATGTAGTAAGAACAGACTTTTTTTTTTTCTATTTTACTATAAATACAATAAATTAATCTTGTTTTCTCTTTAATTTTATTAGTTTGTTTTAACTGTAACGAAGTGAAACCTAAAAATATAATTGGACTGCAAAATATTATTCTTCTATAGTATTGCTGGAACATCGCTGAACGCTCTTTAATGCCTATCTGAAGCTCTATTTCAAGGAGTCCAAAAGGCATTTAAAGTTCAAAAAATAACACTACTCTGCTGCAGGTTTTTTCATGCATTCATGAAAACATAGCTCAGTCTCATCAATTGCTAATTTAAAAGACACATTTTAAAATAAATAGAATGTTTGTGTATACAGGGTTGTGGTGGATTCCAGTACCATTTTAATATTGAACAGCACATTCTAGGGTTCATTTAAAACATAAAAATAATACTCACCTCAGAATTGCTTGTTATGGTGACAGGTCTAAAGATTCTGCTTATTATGTACTAAGGTCAAAAAGAAAATGGCCCAGATCTCTTAGAAATCTGCATTCTCCAGATTGGAATATGAAAGCTATACAATTTCCATAAATCCTCCTGGACAGCATCATACATGACATCACATGAATAAGTAAGCGCTTGTAACTTTAATTCATTTGTGTATTTCTAATGTTTTCCCCAATATGTTAAAGCCTGTGTATTCTATGTTATGCACCCTATAACCCTATGGGGGATGAATGCTTCCCTGAAAACGTCTCAACACTTCTTCTTCCAACTAGAAGACTGGAGGTTGGTCCTAAATGCAAGTGAGTTTTTGTATGTTTTGCAAAACTATTGCATCTGTCTTATGCAAAAAACAAAAAAAAACAAAAAAAAAACCTGTGAGTGTCCATCTAAATGTTAATTCATCCAAGTCTGTTTTACTGATGAATATAGAAATTCTAAATATATCCAATGAGAAAAAAAAGAATGTATTCTACATGTTAGAAAAAAAAGATAACCCCCAACATCAGTTGTAATTTGTAAATACAATAAATTAGGCTTGATATGTTTAAACTCCACTTTGGTTAAACCATGTAACAAGTCTCACATTTATTTCATTAAAATAAAATACTTTTCTTTTCTTATTGAAAAATAAAGATTCTGATTATAAAATAACATTAGAAATTTGTAACAAAAATAAATCTTGAAAATAATTAAAGGGACAATATAGTTACCAAAACAATGTTAGCTTAATGAAGCAGTTTTGGTGTATAGCTCATGCCCCTGCAGTCTTACTGCTCAATTCACCACCATTTAGGAGTTGAATCATGTTTGTTTCTATTGTTAGATCTGTTTATAGATACACATCCCTCTGGCTGTGACTGACATGGATGAAAAAATAGTTTTACTTTCAATAAGATGAAACATAATAAGAACTTATGTTAAAAGTTTTTATCTCCTGCTCTGTAAATTGAACTTTAATCACACAGATGAGGTTCCTGCGGGGTCTAGCAAGCTATTAACAGAGCAGGAGATAAGAATAAAAAAATTTAAAAATTTTGCAATAAAGGAAGTGTGAAGATTACATGACTCTTTGTTTAGGAAGGTTGTGTTAGTCACATGCAGGAAGTTGTCACTAGGGCAGCATAAACAAAGTGATTGAACACTTAAGTGGCAGAAAATTGAGCATTGAGTCTGCAGGAGCATGATCTATACACCTAAACTGCCTCATTAAGCTTAAGTTGTTTTGGTAACTATTTTGTCCCTTTAAATCTCCTAACTGAAAAAAAGTATTTTTTAGCAGAGGAAAAAAGTCAAACACTTTTAAAAAATATAGATTTTTAATTATCTTGCCTTTACTCTTTAATTGTGAAAGGATGAACCATTGCCTATTTATTTATTTACATTTAATGTAAATAACCTTGAGTCACATTATTATTATTATTTTCATCATTATTATTAGTAGTTGTAGTAGGAGTTAGTAGTATTTATATAGTGCCAACTTATTCCGCATTGTTTTACAATATTTTAGCCATGAGGTTCTCATTGAACTTTATGGATATTCAATAGAACACATAAAAATGTTCTCTCTTATCTTACTATATTTTCTGTATGGTATTGAATACATTCATTATCATTAGGCTGTATTCCCTAAACCACAGAACTTGCAATCAATTTTCTGCTATGTTACAGAGAGATAAAATTATAAAATGGTGAGTATCAATCAACATACATTTATAATTTATTTTACTCCAAAACTTCTTGTAAAGTTCACAAATCATTATTTGCTTTGTTTTGTGGCTAATATTCCTTTGCCCTTGTCAAACAGAAACACTTATTTTTCCTTTTATAGAAAGTGCTAATGACTGTAAAGAAGAGGAAAAGTCATAGGGGACTTATACAAAAGTCATAGGGACTTTTACAAAACATACCTATCTGTAAGAAGCTTTTTCAGCATTAGTAAAGTGGCTCGGACACTTTTGCATTTTCACTGCAAGAGCTATTCTGAAAAGTGCCCCAAATATAAACTGGCCAATATCCAGGTGTCACTATTTATGTCCTTGTTTTCCTCCTCTCTGAGAGCTCAGCATGTTTTATACATGTAAGTGAATCAATATGATTAACAGTAAAAGGAACCATAGAGTTCCACAGCAAGAAAACTTACAGTAATGTGATTTGAAATTATTAGTGTTTTTGCAAGTATATATACATATTTTTTTTCTGAAAACTGTATCCAACCAAATCAAAGGTCACAAAATCAACTTCAGATTTTTTTGAATGCCTCACTGTATTACCACCAGACCCCTAGACAGAAAGTGTCCCTCAACGACCCGTGGAATTGTTGTGAAATGTACAAAATATAGGTTTCATTATAAAAGGACCAAATGAATACCGTGCACATTTTCGAGTTTTATTTAAAAGCAAAAAAGCATAATATTGTGAAGTAGAATCAGATTAAATGTGTAAATATAACCATGGCAAAAAGCCAGATGGTGGACATAAAATATAAATACAAAACCTTTAAAATGTTCTGTAAAGAGTAAGAAAATTCCTCTGAACAAACATATATACAAATACAAACTACAAGAAAAACAAAAGGAATGCCAATAGCATAATACTGTATAACATCTCAAATGTAAAAAAAGATACCGCTTTTCAAATTTGTGGTATCATCCAGTATTATGCTATTGGCGTTCCTTTTGTTTTTCTTGTAAATTGTATTTGTTTATATGTAGTAAATGTGTGTCAGACTTGCCCCTTGTACCAGTGTTGTACTGTGGGATATTAACAGCTCCTTAATTTCCTAAAATTGCAACATAAAGATTACATCACTGGCTGCCAACATCAATTATACTAGCACCCAAAATCCAAACTGGATACCTAGTAACCTACTGTTTCCTTCCTTAATGATGCTCACTTTTTTACCTTCAAAGATGAAAAATTATATTGACCCTGCCTGGAACAGAAGACCTTTATCCTGAGAATTTAACAAATACAGCAGTTGGTGCATTAACCATTGAGTTCCCTTACTGTTCTCAGTATTCATATACTTTGTAACACAGAACTGAATGATCTAATTTTTATTTCTAACATTTTTTTGCCTCTTCTCTCACTTTTGCTTAAATATGTCAAATAAAACAGATTATTTCCCCCCTTCTATAGAAAGTGCTAACGACTGTGAAGAAGAGAGAAAAAAAAACACAGAAGAGCCCCTTAAGATTTTAATAACCCTGTAATCGTTAGCATGGATGTTTTGCCAAAGTAGAAGTTCTAGGATAATTAGTCTGAATAAGTGTGTTGTCTGCAATTAGACTATAACCTAGAGAGTTCTTAATGTATTAATAACATTTCTTAAGCTTTCTGTACAACAATCTTGGTTTGGTCACACATTTGACTTGATTAAACTTATTCTACATTTTTTTATAATTACAGTATAAAATGTGATGTATATGGAATTAAACATTAGGCTTTGTAACCCTCATTTTAGAAGCATCAGGGCAAGCTGGAGCTGTCATCATTAATGAAGACATTATTTTAGTCCCTGCTCGACGAAAAAAAAAAAAAAACACAGCTGAATTTAGAGATATGCAATATATTAATGTTGCAATTAAGCCTTTATGATTTTTTATCCGGAATTTAATAACAGGAAATATGACCCCGAGAACTTTCACATTTTAAGGTTGATGCTAATTCCCAACAGGAGATAGAGCGCTCTATACATACTGTTTAACGATATCAAGGTTCTTTGGAGAAAAGAATGACTCTGTATCCATCAAAGTCTTTTGACGCTTGCATTGATGACAAAAGCCAAACCAACAACTGGCATATACCAGCATATTTGCATTTTTGCATTTCATTAAACACATAATTGCATATCAACAGAGCAAGTCTTCCACATTATCTCCGGGAAAATTATCAGCAACGTCTGAAATAAATGCCTAAATGTCAAGAACAGACAAGCTCGAGAAACTGACCTTTGAAAGATTTCATTCTTTAGAGATTTGCTATGGTATGGTTCAATTCTTAACTTTCTGTTTGCTGGCGATAACAGAAGAGGGAGAAGACCCATGTGTGAATTGTGTTTGCAAAAAAAAGAAACTTGAAGTTTGTGAAGTGCACGACGAGGACAACAGATTACAATAGCTAATAAGTGGTTGGGCATGACAGATAAAATGGCATATGGAAAGCAGTTGGGTCTAAGAAACTGTTTATCAAAGTCTCAGAAACAAGTGCAGAAAGGAAAAAGTGGTTTTATCAAAGAAAAACATCCAAGTATTTTCACAGGGATTCAGTTTTCTGTGATATTTCTGCTTATATTTAGTAGCAATGAAAATCAGACAAACAAGCCCAAATGGGCATGAACATAATTTTAGAAAAAACATCTTTTATTCTGAAACAAACTTTATAGGATTTAAAAAAATCTGAAGAAATGTGAAATATAAATCAATTTCCATGAATAATTATTTTCTTGAAATCATTTCGATAAATGACCATATGTCAAATAAATAATAAATTTTAGTCTCTGGAAGGATTAAAAGAGTGTAAGAGAGAAGACGTGAGACACAGAACAACCATTAATGGATCATAGAAAGTCCCTATCGTCTGCACCATTACTGAAGAGATAGGACAAAGGGATCGCTAGGCTACCATATAACTGGAAAAGTTCCATCTTGTTGTACAAAGAAAGAAAATAGTTCCTTGATTCATTCATATTAACTAACTATCCCATTTTCACAAAGCTCACTGCAATATGTCTCTGATTATTGATCAGCTAAAATTGCATTGATTAATGAGACATTCTAGGCATGGCAATTACTTCATCTCATTGAAGTGGTTATAGTGTCTGGAGTCCCCAGTGCACCATCCCTCTGTTCTGTATTTAACTGTTTCTGAATGCTTTACTGCTAAAAGAGAATTCCCAGGCAACTGGTAGCCTTATCAATCTGTACTACTTGGGCTAACGAAGAAGCATTTGACCAAGCAGCTCTAGGCAGAGTTGAGTGTCAGCTGATTGCTTTCAGCCTATCACAGCTGCCTATTGCTGGTATGAACTGGTATGGCTAAGACAGAATGTAATCTCCTGCCTTAGTTCAACATTCGGCAGGATCTGTGTGTGAATAGTGTGTTAAACCGTTTGAAAACTAAAAAGCGGAATGTCACAAGAGGAATCCAGGCACTACTTAAATGGGATGCAATGGTGCCTGTAGTGTCCATTTTACTCTTATCAGCACCCAGAACACAGAGTTAAAAGAGATACACAAGCTAAAGTCGGCAATATTGGAAAATGAAGGCAAAAGCAAAGCAGTGACATGGAAATCTGTGGCAAATGAAGCAAGATTTTTGACATTTAGGGCAATCAGTAAAAGACAGCCATTTGGAGAGATAAATTGGAGAGAGTAAATGGTACATGAAAACAGGTAAAGTAGAAACTAAAGACAGTCATGGTTAAAACTATATTAGTAATATCTAAAATAAATAATAATATCTAAGTGTAGCATGCCAAGTAGATGGGAACAGAAGGATGCAATAAAATGTAGCTTTCTCAGTTGTAGTAAAATGTCTAGGATCAGACACACACATTTCTGTAACTAGGTTTAGGAATCATTTCATCAAAATTAAGCAACATTTGTTCAAATTGCCTAGGTCAGGGGTCCTCAAACTACTGCCCACGGGCTGGATGTGGCCCGCTAGGGTCCGGAACCCGGTCCAAGCACTCAGGGCCACCAGATGGGCCCTATATCTTCAGGGGCCTGGTCAGCGCTGCGGCTGTACAATAGCACGACTGGGTCCCTTTACAAAAAAAAAATTGCAGCCGCAAAGTAGTGCTGGGAGGAAGTGACGGCCGGTGGTCACTTCCTCCCAGCTCCCTCCACGCGGGAGGGAAGAGAGCCATGAAAGAAGAATAATCATCAAGAACATTGATTTCTATGGTAATTTCTACACTTTTAGAACTTTGTGTCACCAAACATTGTATATATTTAATACATTAAGTATGTAAACTAACTTTTAAGTTTAATATAACAGTGTTAGAATGTTCAGGTGGCTCAAGACAAAGCTTATTATATGTTTATCTGCATTATCGATTAGTGTTATGTTGCCTTTTAAAGAAATGCACTGGATTGTCTTACCTAGATAAACATAGATGAGTCTTCTTTGGATTCAGGGCTCCTCCTCAGAATTAATAACATATATATATATATACATATATATATATATATATATATATATATATATATATATACTCATCTTTATTACCCTGGCATTCCATTATTGGCTTGGCCACCACTCCTCCCCGCAACCAGGCAGCCCTTCTAATGGTTGTCAAAGTAACCGTTGTGCAGCCGCATGTTATTCAGCAGCAATGTTAACTCTGCCTTTTCTCGGGAAAGACAATGTTTACAATGCATAGAGTGTGAGGACAGTCTCCTTGACAGTCTGTTTACCTTGCATATGCAGAATGAGTCAAGTTAGTGAGGGAAATGTCCCCATGCTGTTGCTAGGTTCCAAAAACAACTGGGACTGGAGCCTAAAAAGAAATGCAATGATCACTATCTTAACAGGGAAGTATAGACATGCCATGACAGTCCCATGCATTTTATGTCATACCCTGTTCTTTCTACCCATGAACAGCGTTTTGCTAATGTTCTCCAGTGTTTCACGGACTCAAAGCAATCTCAGTCTTAAAGCACAGCCAGAAACAAACTTATACTGCACAGCCAATTAATCAATGGATTTGCCACACTATCTGAAGGAGGGATGTGCAGCAAAATCCTGGTTCTCAGCAACCCCAGCCATCATTTGCCTTGGAGGCAGCATCACTCCTCGGGTGGAGCACTAATACCATTGGTCTTTCTTTTTATAATAAGTGGCTGCTTTTAACCCCTTGATGACCGATGACGGTTCAGGACCGTCATCGGAAAAATCCCCTTGGGGACGAATGACGGTCCTGAATTGTCATAACGGTCTGGGGCTACTTACCTGATCGCCGTCGGTCCGCTGGCTGCGATCAACGCTCCTCCTGGTCCAGGGGGACTGCCTGTCTGCCTGGGCAGTCTCCCCTCGGCAGATCAGGACCCCGCGGCCACGTGATCACTCGATCACGTGGCCGCAATAGGTGCCTGTGTATCTGCCTGCAGGGGGACTGTCTGTGCTGACAGGCAGTCTCCCTGCAAGTGAAAAATCAAAAATAAAGTTAAAAAATAAAGCTATCAGTGTAAAATTATATATATACATGTATTATATCTATATATAATACATGTATATATATCATATATATAATGTCATACTAAGTGTATTTTTATATTATATATACGTATATTAATATAAAAATACACTTTTAATTTAAATTACACATGTATATATACAATATATATAATAACTATATATATTGTATATATATTATTATAAATTATAAATAATATGTTAATAAAATTAAATAACAAAAAGTAAAAATAATTTTTAATAATTAAAAAAATTATATATATATGTAATTTTATTCTAACAGTATTTTGATATTAAGATATATATATTTATATCAAAATACACTTAGAATGTAATGATATACATATATATATATCTATGTATAAATAAATAAATAAAAATAATACGAAATATACATATGTCCATATACATAATTACATAAATAATTTCATAAATATACACGTAGACGTCAAATATGTAAATATGTATATATATTAAAATTCTACGTGCGTATTTATGTAATATTTTTACC